CAGCCAGAAATTTGCCTGAATCTCATGGCTCTGCTACTGGCTTGCTGAGACTCATTGACTTATATCTGCACACTGCTGCCCATGTTGTCTATTGTGACAGCAGAGACATACCCTGAAGGAGGCCCTTCATTTTTATTTTTTATTTGTTACTTTCGAAAAATTTTTTTTGACACATGTGTCCTATTTATTTCAGTGGGAAAAACTGAAAGTGTAAATAAGGATTAAAATGATTAAAGCAAATAATTGATAATTTGAAATAGGAAGAAAAGGTCCAAAGGGGTAAGGGAAGTGAGAGAGGAAGGGGAAAGGAAAGAAGGGAAAGAAAAAATTATGAGAAAAGAATAAAAATGGAAACAAAGTCTATGGTAAATAGGGAAAGGTGGAGGGGGTGAAGGGCAAACAGATAATGGGGAAAAAATAGAACCAAGATACATCATGTACTGGTAAAAGCACCCAATAATAAATGTAAAACTACTGTATACCTAAAATGTACCAATAAAAGAATTTAAGCAAAAAATTTTTTTTGCTCTTATTTTACATTTTTTTCTACTCTTTTCAAATTTTTATTTTTCTCTTCTTTTTTTCTTTCTTTTCTCTTTTCTTTCCCTCTCTCACTCATTTTCTCACTGTCCCACACTGTTCTTCATCTCCCTTTTTGTTCCTGTTCTGGCCTTAATTCAGATTTCTTCTTTATTTTTTGTTTCTTCTCTTTTTCCTTCTCTCGATTGTCATTAGTTTTAAAGGAAAGTAAATACAGTTTCTAGCTTCCCTATAGCTGTTATGCTATTCTGGTCTTGTCTTTGTTCTTTCAATCTGTCTTTTCTTCTAGTCTTCAACAGTTTCTTGGAGTTTGCTTGATCTTCCTGTGCCCTCTGGCTTCACTGCTAACCTTTCAATATCCTTCTACCTGTCTATCCTTCCCTCCCCAACTCCTTCTAATTCCCCATCCTGAAGGGTAAATATGCTATATTAAAGAGATTATTCACTATAAACATATGTTGGGCTAGTCCTCAATTTTAATTTAATTCACACAGTTAAAGGTGGTAGATTCATAACTACCACAAATTGTCATTTTCTAAGCTGTGCTTGATACTATGGTGTGGCTTATTGTATCACTTGGGCTAAGGTGTTGTGAATGATCTAATCAGTTGTCCTTCCTGGTATAATGAAATGAGATAGACTCAGAGTCATTAGAGACTCAAAACCTAAAGACTAGCTATATCTGAAAGACACCTCTGAGAAGCAATCATTCCATAAGGGTTCTATATACAAGCAACAAAGATACTTACAATAAGAAATTTTGAAATATCAACCCAGGAATTAAACCAAGGACAATACCAAAAACAAAAAAAATGAGAAGACATTTAAACAAAGCACAAACTCAGACTTCCTCCTCACCAAAGGCAAATTCTGGGGGAAACAAGGTGGAAAAGCCTGATAATCAACCACCTGGACACCCTGAACTGATAGCACAGGAAGTAACAAAACAGATGAATGAGGCGCTAGAAAAATTTAAATCAAAAATAATTTCCCAGATAACAACAGAGATGGTGAGCAGAGTGAAAGACATGATTAGAGGCTCTAGAACAGAAACAGATTAAAAAAATAGATGAGCTCAGAACCATGCTGGAAGCCATGAATGCCCAGCCTAAGAAAGAAATGGAATCCATGAAACAGATTCAAATAGATATCCAGGAGATTAAAAACTACATTGAAAGTATTCACAGCAGATTAAAGGAATATGAAGATAGAATATCAGATATAGACAGTAGGATTGCCATTAGTGACCATGAAAACAGAGAGTTCTTAAAAATAGTAAGGGACCACAAAAAAAAATCCAGCAGCTGCTAGATGATGCAAAGAAGAGTAACATAAAAATGATAGGAGTCCATGAAAAAGCAGGAGAAAGAACAAATGACATAAAAAACTGTTCACAGAAGTACTAGTAGAAAACTTCCCAGACAGAGGTAAAGAATTGGACATACAGATAAGTGAGGCATATAGAACTCCAATTAGCCACAATAAAAAAAATCTACACCTAGACATATAATAGTCAAGATCCCAGAAACCCAACAGAAGAACAAAATCCTACAGGCAGTTAGATAAAAGAAACAAATCACCTACAAAGGAAAGCCCATCGGAATCATGGCAGAATTCTCAGCACAAACAAGGAGAGCCTGGAGTGAAGTATTTCAAGCCCTAAAAGAAAATAACTTCCAACCTGGACTGTTGG